TCGGGTACCAGGTGTTGCCATATGGCCCTGTCCGCTGCCTCTCATAGGTACTAGGCACACGTTCCACTCTGTGACACTGGACCTGGAACCCTGGGGACCCAGGAGAACAGCACCGGTTGTCTGGATGATCGTTATGGTGACACCTGAGAACATCGTCCACTTACAGGATGTGAGATTCAAAGGTTTCACGTCCACATTCTGTGGAGGAGTCACATGATCAAGAACGAGAACCTTGAGGTGTTCCACAAAATGTTCATCAGTGAAATGTGTATGTGTTTATTGTTCAGCTTTGTTATCCGTCCATTTAGAAATGAAAGCCAGCAACTCCCTTTGAAAATCTATCAGCTTGGAGCTGTCTGTATCAGTTAAGTGGTATGTTTGTGTCTGATTACACAGCTGAAGGAAGGTATTAGTCATATGCATCGACCGACCACATTCATCTGAATGACAAACATCTTCCTACAGCCCATTCTGATTGGCTGCATGCTTAAGTGACATTTCAGATGTTCGGAAGAGCTCCCTCTTGTGGTTACTTGGTAATGGTGGCCAAAAGTAAGGTAAGAGAGCCAAAGGAGCCAGGTGGAGAAAAAGAGAAGTCACATGATTATGTTCTGGCTTTGAAAAGAGGGCTGTGCGGTTTTGAACACTTTGCAGATTGTGAGAAATAGCTGTACAACTTACTGGAATAATTATTATACAGAATGACCTAAGGATATTGATTGACTGGCACACATCAAACTATTAATTTTATATGCAGTTCTTATTAAATTAGCTACTTTATATTGAATTTCATGCAAGGAAAAATATATTAAAATATAGAAAAGAAAAGCTCTCTTTCCATTATGCGTTGTTTTGTGCCCTGATATATATTACTTAACGTATGCAGTCTCTTCCACCAGAAGAGGGCGCTCTTACCAGCCCTGCCTGCTGCAAAGCACACTGACCGAGCCGGATGCCAGGTGTGGATTAAAGTATAACGTCCCAAGGCTAGGATTTGCTGCATCGCAGCTTCAAATCTGGAAAATGCTGTTGCATGCTTGACAAGAATGCTCTGCGGGAACAGCATCTGTAAAAGGGCTGCTGTGTATATAAAATGTATGATCACGAACAGAGAAGAAATAAAATCCTTCAGTAATTTACTGAAATAACTGTGTTATGTAATAAACCCATTGTTATGCACAACCTCATTTGGGTGCATGATTGCAATGAACATGTTGGCTTTGGCAACTAGAAATGCCTGATGTTCCGGGGCTGAAAAACTCTGAATGTGAATCACCTGTTCTGAGGCAACAGGGGGTTTTGGTGACTCCAGAGGGAAGCAAAATGATCCAGCTAAAACCAGCCATGTAAGGCAGATGTGAGCTGAAATATAGTGGGTAAAATCTGGGCCACAATGAACAGGAGAGGGGCTGCTTATGCCTGGCAGGGCTGGGTTTGCAGACTGGTTATGGTACCACAATTATGCCCTTGCTACTCAGTTTAGAATTTAGTGGTCATTGTTGACACACCACAGCACATAATCCTCTGCATTTAACCCATACATGACATAGCAGGGGGCAGCTAATTCAGCACCCAGGGAGCAGTGCTTTGGGTCAGTACCTTGCTCAGGATACCTCAGTGGTGCCTTGCTGGTCGGGGATTTGAACATGCAACCTTTCAATTACAAGTGCGTTTCCCTAACCATCAAGCCACCAATACCCCACATTTATACCCCAGCTTTGCTAAATGATCAGTTCCGATTCATGACGACACCATGAAGGCCTCTTCAGCTAAGAGATTCTGCGTCGCGTCTGAGAGACGGCATGTTGCATGATGATCAAGGACCCAGACTGCGATTGACAGAAAGGTTATCCGCTGCAGAGCTCTTAAAGAAGACCCCGTCTACACTGTGGTGCTTCAGTGAATATGTCCATGTTCATAAGTGGTTACATAATATATGATTTTATGGATTAAAGGTTCTATTAAGAAAATTAAAATTCGATGGGCTTATAAGTACAAATGACAGAGAGTCTAAGGGTTTAAGCTGAAGAGCATCTAAGAGGTACAGAATGACCTCCTGCTGAATTATTACAAGAGCAGTCACCTAAAAATACATCTATTGCCTTTCACAAACATTCAAAAACAGAATTCCCCAAACTGGGCCATCCATCCACGATGTCAGGTCTTCAGCCCACCGGCTGCTGACTGGATGGGCAGCTTCAGAAAGAGGTACACAAAAAACAAAGTACAAAGAACTGGAAATGCAGGAAAGAGGAAGTGGCACTGAAACACGAAACCAGAAAAATCACGACAAACCCCAGAGCACGACACCAGCTGCCCAGTGCACCAACTGTGGAACTCCAGCTAATGAGAACCATGACCCCAGGAACAGGACACCAGCAGACCAGAACCAGAAACTCAAGACAAGATGCCAGCCATCAGAACCATGGACCCAGACACCAGTACCCAAAACCAGCCAGTCACTATTCTGGCAACCCTAGAATAACCCACTCTTAAGTCTCACAAACTAACTGAATAAAGTGCAGTTCCAACCCGTGGACTCTAAGATCAATAATGATGGGTAAGCAGTAAACAATGCTCAGTGCTCTGTTTAAATAAGATCCAGAGAAACATCAAAGACCAGCTTCAAATACCCGATTGACAATCAGGAGCAGGACGTTGAGTATTCTCAAAATGGGGAAGGATTTTCCCCATGGCTCGTGGGTAAACAAACTGCACTCATCACAGACTCATTCGCTTGGTTTGATTGTTCCCCAGTTCCTGTGTGTCAACGATTATCAAAAAGACAGCAGAAATGAACACAGAAACGTAACATGTATAATGATGACGCACTTACACAACCAGTGCAGGTCGGAGCCCATGTGGCACCCAAGACAAGCTTCACCACTGCTGGCCCGGGCCTAAGTGAAAGGTGCCATCAGCACAGAGGGTCTGCAGTTTGCTAAGTAGGTGCCCCCTCAGAAGATGCCACCCTGGGCAATTGCCCCTATTGCTGTTGCCAGGATCCACCACTGCTTGCAACCATGCTAAGAGGTAAAAATTAATTGTGCACAAACACATCTTTCCTAATTCTAAAAGGATTACCTCTACTTTCAGAGCTCATGTCGGCTTGCGAGTTTCTCCACTTGCCATCAAAATGCCTTACCTGCATAGCAGAATCTACCCACAAATAATTTCTCTCCTGTGAACGCCCCTCCTGGACCGGGGGCCCTGATGAATTTCTTTAGCTGGTATCCGGTCACCTCTATGGGTTGTTAGTTAGGGCAAACACCGGCTCTCTGATAACCATCAGCTCAGCCCTCAGAAAGAATACCACCTACCTGCATATCCGCGCTCCAGTAGTCATGCTCAGGATTAGGTTTTTGCCCTACGGAATCTTTTATATCAGAAAGTGAATCAATTATGATTTGGCGATAAGACATACTTTGTGACTCACCATTACTTGTTATATTTAGATTGTCAGCTTGAGATTACTTCTTCGGCCTAGATCACAGCCGTGTGTGCAAAGGGTGACTCTTACAACTGCTCTACTGTCATTCATCTAAGTCCATAATTCTTCAACGTTGAGTCTGGCTATGATCTTTATGTGGTGAGGATGGAGCCTCAGAGCCATCTTTGTAGACCATGTTTATCTGTAAATTTATATCTCGTACCTGCAGGCACCTGGTGATCATGTGGATTCTGATTGGTTCAAGCAACATATATGTTCATCTGATTGGCTGAGTGTTTCACATTACATGTGATGGACATGATTTATCAAGATTATATAAGGGCAGTAAAATCACTGTAAAGGGGGGCCAATGGAGTTGGCGTGAAGGGACTCTGGTCCTTGTCTTCACATTGAAAGCTGATTAATTTTTAATTTGCTCGTGATATTTTTAGCATTAACAAATCTGCTGAAAACACACATTTGTTTTTATCCTACAGAGCAACCAAGTTCGATTAATTGCTGTTGTAAGAACATGCAAAACACAGCTCCAACAGGGCTTGATTTTCTTGTTGGCTCAACTCCTTGAAATCCAATACGATTCAATTCAGGACAGTTATTACATTACAGGTGAATTCTATACTCGAGATGGGCTCTGACTTACAACACACCCTTGCGTTGAGCGAATTTCTCTCCGACTGAGTTTGTGTTAGTCGTTGTCTTTTCGAGGAGATACGGTCAGCAGACGGCAAACTGGCGCCGTTTGTCTGCCCGTGTTTGTAACACAATGTGGAAACTGAGCGCCTCTCGTTGAGAAGCCCCATCGTGTGCTGCGGAGCGGCTCTTCACCTGGTGCCATCTGATATCCATTTGTGGAATAACTTGGGGAAGAAATCTCCGTTTTGCTGGAATAAACACAAATAAACATTTAGAATTTGAGATTATTCTGAATGCATTATTATATCATAGCTATACGTTAGAGGAGTCCGCATATGGTTATGCGCTACTGGCCATGGTAGGGCTGCGTTTCGTTGAGTTGGTTTTGAAATAAATATAAAATGTAACGCCTATTTGCATTCTGTGCCAAAAAATACATGTACGATAACGGGTACACGGTGCTGAAAACCGACACAGATTAGTGCTATATGCACATTATAGTATGGCGTAGATAAGTACTGCTGTATCAGCAATATTTTGAAGGCTCAGGTGATATTACTGTGTTCATTAAAAAAAAGTACCTCCAAGTGATGAACGGAACTAGAAGCGGTGAGTTTAGCCAAGGTTCAGAGGACTCCGCTGGGAATGTATGACTTATATTGGCTACTAATAATTTATGACGCATCGCTTTCGTTCATATTTGTACTGAAAACTAATCCTTGTTTGACTTTTTTGGGGATGGGGGGACTTCATAATTCATATTATAATCCACCTACTTAATTAGTGATGTAACATCGGTTGTGCGGTGAAAAAAGTGCAATTTAATCTAATGTTTTTTTTTTTTTGTCTGTCGTCGGTTAAATTTTCAGAAGGAGACGCTACTCGGCGCTCTCTGCTGTCGCTGGGTATTCGTTGTTTCTGACAGTACTTAGTAATTTGGTCTCGATTTGGTGTTTTATTTTAATGACATTTTAGTCTTACCTGTCCATCATTTAAAACCTGGTTTCTGAAATACTATTTAAATAACAACCTATGACTGGCTGGGTAACTTGACTTAAAATTTTAAAAGATCTGACGCGTCATTTAACCTGCAGCACAATTAAGTTCAGCCTGCCGCCGAGACCATTCAAGCATTATTTATCAAGTGGCGGCGTCCTGCTTTTATAATGTCCGCTACCCCACCCTTCACCTCCATACCCTCTCTGGTTCCCTTCCACAGATGAGAAAGGGATATCGTGATTGCCTTGGGGGAGGTGTAAAGACACGATTGTTTTTCCAGTCGGGTGTGTGAGCGCCATGTAGCATAACTAAAGTTGTCTAAACATACTCAGAAGCAGAGCTCGCATGGACTGGAGGGACTTTAGACGTAATTCTGTTATATGTATGCTTCTTCGATAACTTGGTGTCGTTCAGTTTGTAACCTAGTTTTTTAACAGTGAAGCATTTTTTAATATCAGGGAATGGGCAGACGACGAAGAGGAGTCGCACAGCTGGAAGTTCGGCGAATAAGTCGCCGAAGCATGTATCTATAAAGTTACTGCGAAGCCTCCCACGGGTGAGTTACGATTAGTCATGTACAGCATTTTAAAAGTTTGTTTTCCTAAGTCTTGTACCAGTATGGCTCAGTTCCCTTATATAGTTTTGAAGAAGTTATATTAACTTGTAACATTACCACAACAGAATGCATACAATTGCGCTGCGCACTGCAGTTAGTGGAAGGATAATGAAGAAAAACGATTATTTATTGGTGTAATCATAAACATGCACAGCTTAGTCTGTCTGGTTAAAATGTTCTCGTCTTTGTTGACGACGACGCATGCATATTATGACCGCATCTTAATTTAAGCCTCTTTAGTAATGGTTTCATTGCAACGAATGAATTTTTTCGGTAGATCAGAATGCAGCGCTCAAATTGATGGCCAAAAATAATTTTTTCTATGCTTTTTTTATTCCTACGCTTAAATGTAGTATAATTTGTTTTAAAATATTTTTTGGTTGTCAGGGCAGGACCGTTTACCTTAAACCAGGTACATGTCTGCTGTGTTCTTTGAGGGCTCCTCAGTTTTGGACGCATTTGCTTTTAAGTCCTGCCAGACAGCTATTATCCGGTATAGTGTTAATACCTTAATTATGAATTATGTCTAACGTCTACCTTTAAATATATCATTAGGCAATGTGCATGAACAGCAAAGCGGCTAGCTTTTTAGAGTGATAGAATAGGCCTGTGTCTTGGCTGAAAACAGTGAATATTGGTGCATTATTTAAAAATTAGAGCATTAACTAAGACACTGACTGAAGACTGCAAAATTGGCATTAGGAGAGTAGACATCGTCCCCAAGAACTTTTATATTAGTAGTCTATTTAGCCCACACGTAAGGACAGCGTTAGTACACGTCTGTTTATCAGCCTATATAAATGTAAATGGAAATATAAATTAAACATAGACGTCGTAATAATTCAGGAATCCATGGGTAAACATGGGGACGCGCATGCGTAATATCGAGGATTACTGAAACAATTTATAAAAATAAACGCCGACGCTGGCTTAATTTACAGGGTAGCTTTTGTTTTTACTGAATTGTGTGCACACCTGGCGGTCGTTTGCGATTGGTGCTACAGTGCATTTTTTTCTGACCTCCTCTCTATCAGGTCACTTAATGACGACGGCACCTGTTGTTTGACTGGACAGCCGTGAGAAATGTGTCGACGTAATTATTCCCTGATTGAAATAAATGACCGCGGTTTTGCACTGCTGGCCGGTTACGGATCACATGAAATAAAAGGATATGTGTATGTATATTTCAAAGGGGTGCTGAAAAAAATATAAGCAGGGGCAGATACAGTTAAGGAACCACTGGGGCGGCAATACCCTACCTTGTTTATAAAAGAGAAAGCGTGATCGCTTTGTTATAATTTAGGTTTCGGATTGGCTAATGATAGTTCATAATGACTGATCCTGATTGGATAAATGGGTCATGACAAGCGCATAGAATTACAAAACACTTACTTCCATTTATTAATGCTGTAGGTAATGAAACCAGGTCCTTATTGTAGCTATCGGTATGTTTAATGAATTATCAAACCAGAGATAATTCCTTTGAGAAAATAACAATAGCCTGTGTAATTCATATGCTTGTTTTTTGGGAGCCTTGAATGTTAGAAGTTATTTTTGCAACTTCTTTCGTGGGTTTCCTCATATCTGCTGCTGTATTATTCAGATAACGTAAAATTAATTGAGCAGCGGATCCTTTTATGTGGATTCTCTGGCTGCTTTAGTGATGCCAATATCGCCCCATGTCCAACTCTTTGTTCCTCTCTCATTCAGGGGAGTAAAAATCCTACAAATGTTTGACATTAGCTGCTCATCTTAGTTTCAGTTGCGTTGGTGGTGGGTGCAGCAGTTGGTTTGGTCCACATGCATACAACCTCTGTCAATAAGGTCCATATTGTTTGCCAGTTTTTCCCAAACTATTCATTAGCAGAAGAGCAATAATTTATGGAATGCTGCAAGAGATTCTAGAGTATTATTGTCATATGCACAGTAAACAGTCGCTTACACTATACTGAGGCTATCCAAATCACAGTCCTCAAGGTCCGAGCGCTGCTGATTTTCCAGCCTTCCTGTACCTGTGAGCCAGGCGGGAAGCCTCTGGCCAATGAGAATCAGTAATTATTAAACTAATTACCTGGGAGACCTGAAAACGAGGCCTGGATTTGAAATCGAGGTCCAGATTTGAAGAGCCCTGCACTCTACAATGAAAGTCTGCATATCTTTCTTGCCACCGGTAATCACAAATTAAACACAAACCACAAATACATTACAAATATTATAAATAAAATTAAGCTGCTGAAAAGCAGAGTACAGTTACATAGTATGTCAGTAACAATAAATGGGAGTCCGGTTATGTTGATAAATTTGTAAACACAATGAAATGCAATTTTAAAAACGCAGTGTAAACATAGGGCAAATATTGTGAATATTGCATAGAGGTTCATAAGTAAAAGGTAGATTATTGCCTGGTTATTGTGTAACAGACAGAATAGTGCGTGCAAATGACCAGGCTGCTGTGCAAAGTCTGCAGAGTCTATGTGCAGTTTTTTCCATGGTGGCTAATGAAATGAGGCATTGCTTCCTTGGCAATGTTTCATTTTTGTATTGACTTGGACAATGCATTCATTACCCTGGTTGGATGTTTATTGTAAACACTGGCAACCCGTATTATGAAGCAAGTTTAATCTTGCGGGTCTGGATTAGTTCCCACTGGTGGTCTTTTGATGTTGAATCAGCACTAGCACTGAAGCAGTCCCCAGTACTCTCAGGGCGGTGTAGGCTTTGATCAACCCTCTCCCCTGCAGTAATCTTTGCCGCAGCTTTAGTGAAGTGAGCCGCTAGAATCTGGGCCCTCTAGGACCAGTCTGGATTTGTTCGAGGCAGTGAAGTCGCAGTCTGTCCGCTTCTCAGTGCAGCTGGGAATTAGATGCATTATTATGAAATTGTGCCTTATTTGCAGGTGTATTGGAATGCATGGTCTCCCATATCCCATCATGCACTCCTCCACACATAAACCTTTGAGAGCAAAGCTTAGGGTTCAAGCACAGGGTCAGGCCCCTTTTCTAGTGCCCCTGGTGGGGGGGTGGGTTAATGGCCTTGCTAAAGGGCCCAATGGAGATGAGACTGCATAGGGCAGGTCTTGAACCAACAACCTTCTGTTCACAGACCTAACTCGTTGAGCCACTTGCCGGTAATGCTTAAAGTTGTATATAGTAATCCTTCCAGCCATCATCCACTATAGGGGGGGGGCGGGGAATCTCCCCCCTATAGTGGATGATGGCTGGATAATGTATCAGGGAATCTGCCCCCCCCTATAGTGGATGGGAATCTGCAAAATGCAGGTTATGAGGCGTGATAACATGCACAGTTACATATTCTGAGAAACGTTTGAGATAGAAGTTTGCCTAGTTGCTTGTTTTTCGAAAACACTAGGGTACCTGAAGCAAAGGCACCCAAGAGGGGGAGCATGCAGACCTCACATACACCAGAGTGAGAAGATTCGACCGCAGTGCCAACCGACTGCGATAGAGATTGAAAATGAATTTTTTAATGTGCTGTTTATGTAGCCCACAGCAGTTTGGTGTCTCATGAGATAGTATTAAACACAATCCTGTTGGCAAAATTTCAAGCTAAAATTGTGCTGTTACCACTGTAGTCAAACATTCATGAACAAATTAGCCAGATTCCCCCAGTCACATTCCTTGAGAATGCGAGAAATTAGCTTATTAATGTAGGACATACTAATGGCATTTTTATATTTTAATGAGTGACCATATCACATTTCACATGCTGTGGGCAATTTAGAGGTACCCGTTCATGTAATTGTGTGTCTTTCGACTGTGGGAGGGATACCTACATGCTTCCACAGAGGGCTTAAGCAAGAGCGCTCACTACCATGACCTACCATGACACCCTAACTGGCAGACTAACAAGCCAATTAATTCATTATTTATCTCTCCGTCTGAACCGACATGAAGGATGAACACTAGTGGGAATTGCTTCGTGCTATATATACATTACCAGTCAACAGAACAGGTCATTTATCTGGAAACACCTACTGAAAATGATTTGTGTTTCACCAAGAAAATGACCCTAAGCACTCCTCGAGGTTAAGCATTAGTATTATTGTGTGAACAAGGGAAGAGATTGAGTGCTGCAACAGATGACCTGGCCCACACAATCATCCCCCCCCCCCCCCCCCCGACTGAAGCCCTGTGGAGCTGGTTTGGGATGAGTTTATTAGCAAGGTAGCAAACTTGTGCCCAAAACTTGTGGAAACTCCTTCAAGCATTCCAGGTGGCTACATCTCTTGTTGATTGCAGTATTTGATATGTATTACTTCACTGCCTCAAGAACTTTTACTGTAAGGTGAATAACATAATAGCCGAAATAGAGGAAAATGCATTAAAAGGTAGTGTGTGTAGACTGTTTACTGGTATTTATATGCAACAGTAACATTCCACAACGTGAAGGACGTTTTTTTTTTTTTTTAAAGCTGCGTAATATTGGAGAAAGTTTCATTTTCAGTATTGTTACAAGCCATGATTAGATTATTGTCATTGTATAAGATAAGATTAACTTATTTCGGATACCAAGGGTGACCTTTTTTTTGTTAAACCCATAAGCAAGGATACTAAACTCAGATTCCTTCAGTAGTACTTGCAGGATAATATGTCAGATTGCATTAATAATCTGCTCTTTAGCCAGATCAATGCACTGGTTTTTCCATAGATTGCACGGCATGTACATTCTTGCAGGGATGTTGGCACATCCATTTATAAGTGAATTATGGGTGCATCCATTATTTTAAAGTGATGTAGGCGCAATTTACTGTTTGCAATAGGAGCGGTGGTCTGCTGTTCCATTACCTATGGTTCCATTTATTAATAGTTACATGCTCCGAGCGAAGTTTGTTTATGTCTATTAAATAGTGAATGATGCCTTTAACAAGCAATCTGGTCTCTTTACTGTGTTCTCTATATACTCCTGTTTCACTCTGGAAA